ATCTGCCTGTTCTGCTCCCCACTCTGTCTCTGGTGAAGCCTCTCACCGCCCCTGAGCCTCTGGCCTGAACCCCATTTCTGTATGTATAAATAAATAAATCTTTAAAAAAAAACTCATTTTATAATGTATAGAGAGATTTATGTGTTGGGACACAGCCTTCAAAACCAAGTGAAAGCAAGAAACTATTTGATAGAGAAAGGTTTTCCTTTTGTAGAAAAAGAACAGGATCGCCTTTCCCTTCATGGTTCTCTTACAAAATGCTAAATCCTACCTGAAGTAAAATGAATGTAAAGAATAGGACTGATTACATAACTTGCAGAACCCAGTGTGAGAACAAACAATGGAACCTCTTGTTAAAACTACTACTAATTTTCAGTTTACTCAACCCAAACAGTAAGCCAGGGCAGGACTTCTTACACACAGGATGTTTTGTGCATTGTACCAGCTTCCCTAGCACCAGTTCTGAAGATGAGTCTATTTTTCTTCAATTCCTTTTCTTGGAAAGCTAACAGGAATTTAGTAAAAGGCAGATCCTAGACCCAGTAAAGTTAAGGAACATTTGTTTTGCCATGTATGCATGTGAACTTATCACCAGCCCCCAAAAGGGATATACAAATATATAACTATGGAACAAAAGTCCCATTTTATATGTATCTGTGAGCATATTACCACCCCCTACTAAAAACACATAGGAAGAAGAATAAAATTAGAGGAGGGAAAGATTTAAAGCATTTCTAGTAATCTGCACAAGCAGGTGTACCTGCTAAGACAAAACAAAGCAAGTTTGTTATAAAATAGAAAATGAGAAATGAAAACTGTGAGTATCTTACATGAGAATTCCATTTAGTCATGTTTCACTAAGTTAGATGTTATTGCTCAATATCACAAGATAAGTTCTAGGAATTACCACACTATGGCTTTTAATCACACAGACATAAGGATTATTTTTTTACCCATGATAAATTCTTGCTCAGAGGTCATCATTTGTTCATAAAAATCCATGTTTCTAAGTTACTAGCAGTCAAGAGGTCTTCAGTCTGTTGCTAGTATCTGTGCTAAAATACAGGTGGTTTTTGCTTCAAGAATTGAGCTGCTTTTACAACCAGGCAATTCTGGTTATCTGATCCATAGCAGTCATCACTGTGGATAATGTTGGTTTTGGGGTCAGCATTTTTATTTGCTTTCATTTGCTTACATATTTTTCATAAAGGGTACACTAAAAACAAATTGTTGAGTCCTGCTAACTATTACATTCAATCTGGGTCTTTTGATACCCTAGTTCTCAACAAAACTTTTCACTGTGTGCAAAGCAATCTTTCCCAACTATCTCTTGTTATACCATGTTAGGTATAACCTTGTTAGGCTTTGGCTGAAATGTTGATTTTCCTAATAAAATATTATAATCAATTGAGATAAAATTTTTACTCTTCTCAATCCTCATGTCAGCATATGCTGCATTAAGAATTGTAAATACCAGTCCTCTCTGGTGACACAAATTGTTAGATCTCAGTACTATGAGGCTATCAGCAGCCACTGCAGCATGAGGGTGATCCCCAGCCACACAGCTGACCCCCTGGCACAGCAGACCTCTGTTGTCTCACCCACTGCTCCCGTCAACAGTGTATTTCAGTCAATCTCTCTATTCTGCTCCCCACTCTGTCTCTGGTGAATCCTCTTACCCACCACTCCTCTGGCCTACACCCCAACTCTTGTCTGCATAAATAAATAAATCTTTAAAAAGGAGTTAAATTATATATGTTCATCTGTGTTTGCATCATGTTCCACTTCTTCATTAAATTGAAAACATGAAGCCAACAAGCATGATTCTCTTGCATCATGTTTGCACACTAGAATCCAAGGATGAGGTTGAATCCATTTGGGACAAATGAATGGTTGAGTGAGTGGATGACTGTCATCATGATGGAATATTTCAGGTGAATCAAGGGAGGCAATACTTCCTGGGATCTACTTCGCTTGCTCAGTGACAAAGCCCGTGACCCTCTCCTTTCAATGCCTTCGCCAAATTGCTGCCTAGAGGTAATGATGTCGCTTGATTGTGTATTATCAAGAGAATTAGTGCAAATAAGATAAATAAACTCTTGATCTCCCTTCACAAGCCAGAGCCAGATCTCAACAGACACTTTAATTGCTTTTCTCTGATTGTGTAAGAGAAGAGTTGTTGCTCTCGGGGGCCTTTATCTCTTGAGAGTGCATTACCTTTCGAGTCCCATGGGTCTCCTTTGGACGCCACATCAGAGCCCCAGGTCTAAGAGCCAGAACCCCTTGGATCACTCATGCTTCCAGTCACATGGTTATTAGTAACTGTCTAGTTCAACAATGATCTTCCTGCCCATTGAACTCCGGACAGAGTGAGCAACCAAGACCAGGACGAATATCTGCAGACAATAATGACCTTAATTAGAGCTGTGATGCTTCACCTACTTCAGGTACCAGACATCACAGGGATTCTCTGGTTTCCTCACGACAGCTGCAGACTCACTCCAGCAAAGGAGTGAGTGGGGGTGGGGTGGGGTTGGCTCTTTATTGTTTCTAGTTTATAGATGGAAACATAGAGGCTCCAGCTGAGTGAGCTGTTTGAGAAGTGAGAAGACATAGGTGAGAAGAGAAAAATAATCTGGAATTGGTATTAGTACTTACAAGCTAACTAGTATTTTTTTCTTTTTTCAGATTTATCTATTTATGCATACAGAACTGGAGTATAGGCCAGAGGTGCAGGGGCAGTAAGAGGATTCACTGGAGACAGAGTGCGGAGCAGAACAGGCAGAGCGATGAAGTACACTGCTGAGGGGAGCAGTGGGGAGACAGGAGAGGTCTGCTGTGCCATGTGGGTCACCTCCGGGACCAGGGATTGAACTTGCACTGAGGTGGCTACAGCTAGCTTG